TGGACAAGGTGGTTTGGGAGTTTGAAGTCGAGACCGGGGGGTGCTGGGGGCTGGCATTTTTGGGGGGGGGCGGAGGGTCAGGGAGGACGGTGACAAGCTTACGGAGTTGGGGGGGTCAGAGAATTCAGGAGAGCTGAGTGGAAAGACCGTTGCTGCCAAGGGAATTCCTTCGAAAAGAGAGGGCAAGCTCGGGGAAGGTATAGAAGGGCAGGATGGTGTTTCCTCGGGTGATATTGAGCGGACATACGTGCATCAACCGGGAGAGGTGGTCGCTGAGGACGGGGAGGGGGGGAAGTTTGTTGTTGATGACAAGGACCGAATCGTCTTTGTTGAGAAGGAAGGGGTAGAGCACATGTTGAGGGGGTTGGTTGCGAAGAGGGGGGGCGGAGCAAAGGAGACTGGAGATAGAGAACACAAATGAGCCCACTGTTTTGTTCCTGGTTGTGATTGCTTCTGGAGGAGGGTGACTGATTCGGACTGTACATAGAGATTACACCGCGGATAGCAGTCAGTGAGCGCAGATACTTCGTCCTAAATGAAGAGCACTCGTTATAACTGGCATTCCAAGCCTACTGACCTAAGTACAGCTGAAGGTAATTACGGGTGATTTTGAAGAGGATTCAATGAGTACGAAAGCAAGGAAACCGACTGCAGGACATGATGCAATGATCTTATAGTGGCTCGCCACTAGAGCATCTCTCAAATGGACCCCGAATTTCAGTACTTGAGTCCCGTACATCATGCTCGGCTATACTATATGCAATAACCTCTCCAACCTATAGATTTGATGGTTTGATATGCACGTAATTGTAAAAATGGTTGCTTCGCGGGTGATCATGCATGCCATGTGTATACGAGGTCAATATCAATTGAGACCTGGCTTTGATTGCACACGCATTACCGTCATTGCAAAGTCATATAGTACTTACTAAGTTGGAGCATCAGTCACGGTGAGAGGACGTAAGTTTGTCAACGGCGCCTAGCTATACACCTGGTGAGCTTATATATATGTCGATATGCATGGCTGTTCCATCAGACTTAACACGAGCCGGCCAGCGTCGTCAGAGCTAGCTACAAGCTTGTGCATGCAATCAATGACGGCCTGGCCACCGTCACTCCGTAAAAGTTGCAGTAGGCCGGGGCCTGCGTGATCGGGCCCATGGGTAGCCAATCACTATAAATTTCAGCTAGCGCAGGGCCTGATGGCCCACGTGACCAAATTGTACATATGCGCGCAGTCATTACCAGGCTATAGCTCGTATGTCAAGCTACTGCACCATGCACATCGCCATGGCTGCAGCCATGAGGGCCGTGCAAGCATGCATGCATAGAGCCCTAGGAATGGAGCCATACGTTACCCTCAGGGCGCCGGCCCTGCATGTGTAACACTGGATCGAACTCGTTCAAAAGCACGCGTTGGATCCGGAAAAACCTTCGGACCCTCCTTTTACCAGGCGCAGTCAGCAGGTACTAATGTGACTGAATATGGTATATGCCCGACTGGAGCCGAATTGACTCCTGACAATCTCCAGAGCTTGGTAATGTCAGACCTGAACACTATACTACTATTCATTCGAGTCCTGCTTTATCCTGGATGCTAAGATGATATCTCTACGAAAAACTGCCATGCTTATCTCCTTCGATAATCGATCGCCCCTGAACTTAATTCTACTTCTTCTGGCACTCCCGCTCCTCATAAGCACTGCTATACCAGACGTTTCACACAAATTCTAAAATTTCCGATCAGCAGATTCTCTACTTGACTACAACAACGGGTGGGTCTTGATGCTCCGCCTCTGTGTCATCGCGCTCGTTAACCGTGCTCAGCGCAACCTCCGGGCCCGTGATCGTGAGAGATTGGGTTTTCGACAGGCTTGACTGTCGTCTGTCGTACTCAAACACATGCTCAGCCAACTTGAGTTGGTCGAGGAAGATCTCGCTGTTCGTCAACACCGGCAGGTCACTCTGCAGAAGAGGAACGGAGTCAAACTTCTCTCCTTGTGTCGGACAGTTTAGAGGTGTCTGCTGAGAAAGGTGAGTCTGCGGCTAATGACTGGACCGCCAGGCTGCTTGTATCTCATCCGCGTTGCAAACGCTGCCAAGCTCTGTTACCGCGTGCTTGATCCGACCTTTCTGTGGTCTGATAGATCAATGAACCCAAGCAGAATACCCTGGAACTGCCCCGTTTTCAGTCGAACGCTGCTATCCAGAACCTGAAGCTCTTGTAAACAGCGCCAGATTCGGTTGCCGGGTCCTGAAGAGTTGACCATCTAACCGAACATGATCCCAAAGGTCTGCTGACCGAACATGTTGTGTGGCACTGAACTTGCGAGCTAGCGTTCCTTTGGTTTTAGGGATTTAGGGTTTTAGGTTGAAAAACTAACACAACCCAGCCCAGGGACGATACTGCTCCAGTAGCGAGAAAAGTGGGAAAAAGGGCAGTCAAAGCTGGTTAAGGACTCTGCATCATTCCAAATGGTAGGGGTTCGCACGAAGCTAACCAGGAGCTGATCAAAACGCTGATTCCATATAGGCTGGTTGGGAAGAGGGCGCATAGAGTTCGCCTAAGCATTTCTTGGCTTGCCTCTTCCCAAACGCCGGCAGGACGACTGCATTTAGTGCAAGACCCGTTCTACAATGAATGAGATATATATGAAGCCCACAATGTATTCAAAACCTTGGGGAAATTTTGCACAACAACGCCAAACAACGCCAGAACAAGAAAGGAAGGGGGATCAAATGGTCACAGATGAAGGGGTTGAGGCACCCTGCGCGGATTATCAGCGGATTTTCTCCCCTCGTCAAGCGGAGCTAAGTGCCGGCTCGGTCAAACCCAAGTGAAGAGAGTCCGTTGACGACCAAAGATGCCTATAAGAGGCACTCACCAATCGGTTGACTTTGACGATCTTTCGGTGGACTTTGGGACTCAGGAGCGGCGTCAGAAACTTGAAGGCAGCCTGCAGATGAGGATAGAACGATTGCTCAGCCGTGTGATAAGGAACTGATCCGGCGTCCACAAAGCGGGCGTTGAGGTTTGATCTTCGAAATACGACCACGTATGATTGCTCGATCCGTGCAGCTGCCCCCCCTGATTGCAGCTCTTCGGTCTTTCGGGTCTGGTATTCCTTTTCCAACCGGCTAGGTCCAGATTCTGCTGGCTTTCACTCTGGGCAAACTTGCAGAGAGTTGCGCTACTTGTGTCCTCAAGATATAATATTTCAAACGGACGAACTTGGACCTCACCGTCCTATTCCAACCGGTCACCTGACGGCAAAGGAGCCTCTTGCAGATTCCAAGCAGAGCCTCTTGCAGATTCCAAGCAAAGACACAGGGAAGGACAGGAGCAAGCGGATATATTGTAACAAAAACAGCGAAGAAACGAGAAAGCCAAAATGCTAACCTTAAGGACAAGTGACGGATGGATGAAGACGATCTTCTGAACGTTCTTCTTGTACGGACGAGGGAGCTTTCGGTACGCTTTCAGGAGCCATAGGGTCGGTATCTGCACGCGTCGATGCAAAGTTGGGCGTTTAGAGAGCGAATTTTTTGGGATGCTCTCGCACACAAGAGTGGCCGGCTTGTGGCAACCAGATAGCCGAGAATGAATCCTTGGGCTTGTTTCACGACGGCGTGTTATCATTCCTGAAAGTTGACAGGCTTTAGTGGAGCTGATGATCGGTGCAGGACACCCGTAAATTGAGGCGTCCAACTTTTCGAAGTGAAATGCAAGGCTTTGTACGAAGACTCGAGGATGCAGATCAAAGCTTTGGAGGTCCCGGATATCAGGACAACCGCACTTGAAGGAAGTGAACGAGGCCACAGGATCCGCAGTCGTGACACTAGCATAGTCTCGTCTCGCCAATTTTCGTTTCCTTCCCTTATCCCCCTTGGAACCTTCTCTTTCCTGAAGGCTTGTGTATAGACGTATTTCCGAGGCAGTAGGACCAAACAAAACGTCTGTAGGTGAATTTTCTAGGGAAGTGCACCTGTTGTTTGTGGTTGGCTGCCGTGTACTTGGGTGAGAGGGCGAAGACGAGGACATAGGGGCCGCCCGTTACGATCGGTTCGAGTTTCTCTGCGCAAAAAGGAGAAACGGTGTCCGTACGATTGAGACACTGTTCGCGTAAGCAGAAGGCCAAGAAAACCGGTTGAGGTTGCTTTTTTCGGAATAAGACCTGAATAAATATGTGTGCTCGCAAGGGCTCGAGCGGACTCTCTGCACTGGTGCGAAGATTGCAAGCGAACAACGGGGTTGGGAAGAAAAAGGCAACCGAAGGAAGAGGGTAGGAGGGTTGGACTCAGGGATAACACGTCCAAGAAGATGATAACAAGAATACAGCGATTTCGAGCCTTTGAAAACAGGAGCCTCGCAAAAGTCGTCGGGAGGTGGCCCAATGACCGAAAAGGTTAAGCGAAACGGAGGCAGAATAAGGAAAGCCGGAACGGCTCTTCGAATCACGAGACGACGCAGCCACAAACGGGGTTCAAAGCTGTCTGGAAGCACCAGCTAGAAGAGCGCGAGCAAGACTGACCCTCGTTGTCCCGATCGGCTGAATCTTGAGAAAAAATAGAGGAATCGCTGCCAATTCTGAAAGGCAAGTCTTACCAATCAGCTTTTTCAGGGCGGCGGACCTCTCGTTTGGGGGCGGAGCTTGGCTGGCGTCAATCAAGACTGCAAGGCGAGCACACGTGTCACAACGAGATTCGTCAGCCAGCTACGAAAGGAGAGCCTGCTTCCGTCTGAAGCTTTTCGTCGTCACAGGCCCCACCCTTCTGGACAATCTTGCTGAAGCAGAACGAGTGCTATAGAGCATTTAATAAGAGCCCGCTTTTCAAGCTCGCAGCATCATCAAGTTACATCAAATCAATTCAAGCTTTTCCTCCAAAGTGCGAAGATGCTCGACGCTCCTACGCAAGGCGGCCGTTCAGAAGGCGGCCGTTGGCTTTGATTACATTCTCTTTCCGCAGAAGCAAAGGCCGGATCTTAGAATTGCATGAGAAGGCAGAGACAGAAAGACAATGAGAAAAGCTCGGCCCCAAAGCTCTTTTACGTTTCTGGACCTGGTTCCAGTATATCAGCTACAGACGACTGTCCTCAGAACCATGTAGATTTCTTATTTTGGTGGACACGAAGTGCCCAATCGTATTCTGTACGTGGACGCCAAACTATGCTTACCAATCGGTCGGCCCATAGCATCATTCCCGCTCAAAGTCAACAAGCTCTCTTTTGTTGCCTCTTCATAACTAGGAGGGGGGGAGCCCTCGCCCGCCTTACTAACAATTGTCGACTCATCTGTACACGAGGTTTTGAAAGTCAGTGCATGACCGGTCGAAGGTCTACCGCCATCCTTTGTTTGGCTGCTGAGTGGATCAGTGGGGCCGCAGTTTAAGATAGAACACTGAACGAAAGATAATAAAGGGGCTGAACATGAGCTACCACTCGCTGACTAGGGCAGTAGCAATGAAGGCAATGAAGGGACTTGATTAAGCTCAATCGAGGGTGTACAGTTTACTGACAAATGACGCTGGCAGGAAGCACAAAAAGTGACCCAATGAAGCCTTCACAACCCAGACATAGTTCCAGAGGCGGTTTTAATCACTGAATGCACATCTCCCTCGGTCTGAATCTCATTCAGCAGAAGGCTTCTCCTAGTTAAGAACAGGGATGTATCCAGCGTTGCTGAAAGTCACAAGCAGAATACCTCAATGCGTGAACGACAAGTTTCTCCTGCTATTCGACATCACCCGGGCAACTATTTCCCGTACTCATCATCAAAGTGCCCGGTCAATGGCATCCATTAGCTACAAACAGTATCTCCAGTTGACTTGAAAAAACTGCGTAGCATTAGAAAGCGCCTCACCCTCAATGATGCTGGATTTTCCAGGCTCCCTCAGAACGGCATCCCTGAGGCTCTCTGAGTAATCCTCGCTCGCATTCCGGACGTGGCTTGCATACTGCTGGGCCTCGTCTGCAGTGTCCGAGTCTGCAGCTGGTTTGGACTCGGGGTCTTGGGAGGGGCCCTGAACGTGGAAATTGGGGCTTAAGTAGAGTGGACTACGGGTATGAACAGACAAGCACAAAAAAACTCAAAAACGAAAATGATCTCATCACAGAAACGGATCATTATGAAGATGAGAACATTTTTGCAATCTCTGGAGCTGATCTGCCCCAGCTTGCTAAACGAATCTGGCTTCGCAGGAGGCAGTTGCGGAAGAATTCCTTCACTTGCCATTCAAGTGAATAGTCTATCTGATCTGACGGCCTTGATTGCTTTGGCAACAATTCAAATTCAATGAGTGCCGCGTAAGTCTCTAAAGTAAATTGACGATGCCTGGGCTCTCCAGATCTGCATCATGCGGTGGCCATTATGACGAGTGCAACAAAAGTTCTGATGGGCGCCGCATAATCCAAACAACCTCTTGATGTGAAGCTCAGACCTCAAATGAGTCCCCAATGAAGTAAGATCTAAGCAATATTCAGAAGCAGACTTCACAAGCTCTTTGCACAATTGCTGGTGGGCAGGTTATGCAAGTGCGTTCCATCTCGGTTATCAAACCCTAGAAATGCCTTAAAATATCTCAAAGCGCTGGTGCTGCGAGCTTGGACCTCACAGGGCTTGAAGTTGACCACATGCTATGCTCTTTCAACAAATCACAGTATGATATTATGACCCTCCAGAGTCAAATGGAGCTGCGCAATCCACATAAGATAGGATGGTGACACAAAACCAGCGACCAAGAGTTCCTTCAGAAAGCGCTGTACGAGCACTTAGCTGTTATAACCAGAAACCCGCAAGTTCAAGTGGCTGAGCTTTACAAGTCAGAAACTTCAGATGAGAAAACAATTTTTGTTTGAAGAGGGAACATCCACACTGCACAGCATTATTCATGAGCACATCCTCAGTGCACTGCCCCACCCCCAGCTGGATTCCACTCAGAGGCCCAGAATGCTACCGAGGCCGCTGATTCTTTTACTTGGCTATCAAACACAGACAGTTGACTTTAAAACCGCAATTTTCTGTACAGCAAGATTGCTCATTGCTGAAAGTGCTATGTAGCAGTCAGTGTGAAAGTCCACATCTTCCCTCAGCATTTTGCTGAAAATATTACATTCCTTGACTAGGAATAGGATAAGCTGCAAGAAACCGCACCTCATGTGCAGTTTCCCTTGCAACAGGACTGCTCAGGTTGGCCTCTTCAATAACGTGGGTCAGGTCATCAAGAGCATCGGCTTCCTTGCGCTCCTCCCCTTTGAGGACGTCAGCAGGTGCAGCAAAATCAGGGGTAGACATCACCTCAGAAGAGTCATGTGGAGGCATCTGCGTGGTTTGGCTGCTAGGCAAACTCCCGGTATGAGGAACTCACTTCTGTGATCGCTGGAGCCAAGCAAAAACTTACAGCTAAACCGTCATAAACTTTTTCCAATGGGCGAGCAAGCGAACTAATGTGGCAACCACGAAACGCAATGCTGCTTTAGATACCTTCAGAATGTGCTTCCAAAGTGGAATCCGCAACCTGCACTGAAGAGCGGCTCAGCTGCATGATGTTATCTCCTAGACTGAATTACGCAGATGCTCCATTGAAGCCTGAGGGCAGAAGAACGAGAAAAGTACTGGGGGAGTTCGCTGGCAGATATTGGCTGGCCAGCTAGGTAGCTAGCTAACCTCCGACGTTTTCGGTCTAAACCGCGAGGACTGGTCAACGTGGTCAGGGAGGCATCGGTGATTCGTGAAGGTTCTTGGAAAGCGGGTTGGGGAAGACGGTTATGGCTGAAACCCAGCCGAACCCGAAGTCGAAGAGGGTGTCGCGACGAGTCCGGGCTGGAAACTCAGCAGACTACCTGCTTTCTCTGCACCGTCGATAAGCTGAAACTTGCTTATCAACTAGGTTGTCAATGTTAACCGTCAAAAGTTCAGTGCAAACAAAGATCGACGGTGCGGAAACCGCAGCCTCACTGAGGATGGATCATGGCGCTGCTACAGTGCTAGATACGCTGCCAATATCGCATACATGTGCTGTCACATGGGAAAGTGGAATGTGAGGGGCGCTAGTATGCACTGGAGTGGCAGGAATACCATACCACCTGGGGATAAACTTTTGCTTCACCACAATGCATCAAGGGTGCTGAATTCAACCTCGTACAGCTTGAGTGTGCCCTATGTATCATTGGCTTTTGAGGGTTTTGCACACAGAAGCAAGGGGCCAATATCAGAAAGTACGAGAAAGAGCATCTGGCACGCTCAAAGGTTACACATCTTTTCAGATTGAAGATTCTAGCGCCAGGGACAGTCTTTCTTTTTGCTCAGCCATCCAACGTTGTTCAAACAGCAGTCAATCTGCAGAAAAGTGCCCATACTCAAGCAAGCTCTAATCCCTATTGTGAAAGTCATACAGCTCATTGGCTCTTTCTAAGCCGCTCAGTGCGTTTCAGTGGGTCCCTTGCGCTCTAAAGCTCGTTGAGAAGCTTCTATATACCTGCGCTTAAAAAATCTTTAGTGGTGGGCTGTCGAAAGGCCGCCCGAAATGCAGGCCCTGCAGGGCTGGTTCTCGGGAGGCGTGTCCGAGGACCGTCCAAAGTCCCTGGTTGCAGAATGGAACACTTATGCAACCACCTCGCACTCCGGTGCGGGGCTGGCCGCCAGCTCAGCGGACTTGGAAGCTGGGGAGACAGACTCGTTCCTGCAGAACCCGATGCTGAAGCAAGCAAATACATTCCTGCTGAAAGGGTTCGCTTCAATCGACAAGGGGGTGCGGGAGCTTCCGGGGAGCATCCAGACGTCGGCGCAAAATATCCCGTCGAGAAAGTGAGCCGAGAGAGGCGTCTTGATGTTAAGTGAAAAGCAAATGTGTGCTGGTGGTGGTATGGTTGGAGAATGGAAACTCTGCAAATTCTCTCTGCTCCTTTCTGCTTTGGCTTCTGCAACAGCGACAAATCTCAAACCAAGGGGGCACAACTTTAAGGCCTCGTGAATAGTTGGGCGTGGTACGTTCCTAAAGGCGTCTCCTTGCGATGTTACTTTCTGGAACGTCCATTTGGCATAGTTCCTTATGTCGGTCCACATCATGCATCATTCTATGACTGTGACTCGCCCTCTGCAAATGGAGTCATGCCACATTGGCGCATCAAATAAGGATCATTTAATATATGGCATGCACTATTCAATGTTTCATCACTATTTTGGAAAGGCTGATGCAGAGTTCAGGCTGTTGAAGTGCTTCATAAGAAGTGGCTTTGAATAATGAAATCATCGTTTGGTAATCTTTTCTTTGTCACCATCTGAATGATATTCCTGTTCAGGTATGTCAAATCCGGTATTGCTTTAGGCCCGTCAGCGACGAAGATTTTCCCCGAGGTTTGCAGCAGTTTTGAGGCCTGTACAAGCTCAAAGTTCTTGTTTATGAACACTTACGCAGAGTTGAAGGCCTGTGTAAACCGAAGCGTTTACATATCCTGTCTCTTAGGCTGTGTCAGAACTTTCCTGTTGCAGTCCAGAATCCGTACAACGTCCTCCATCTGTTGTATCGTTTGACGACGGATTCAGCCCTTCCATGTCGAAATAGGGTCCAATTGTGGTGTTCTGGTCTGCAAAAATCCAACCAATGACTTTGCAGGGCCATCATGTACTTCGGCCTCTCGATGGGCACGGGCGTCTTCTTCCTCTCCATGGCTTTCACCATCTTCCTCCCTCTCATGGTCGTTGCCCCCCAAAAATTCGCCGTCTGCTTCACCCTCGGCTGCCTCTTTATTATTGGGGCCTTCTTCGTACTAAAGGCAAGTGCTGAACGACGCTCCTTTCATTAGTCAAGTTCGTGATTGCTGTAGACACTTGTTTGGGCCCAGAGAAGTTCGCAGACTGCTTTCCTTACCTCTTCATCATTCAGGCAACTTCGTACCGGATAATTTGAAGCGCAAAGCCATGTTTCCTTCTTCTGGGTTTGAGTCCCTTACCGGACTATCCCGTTGCTTGACTTGCCCCTCCCATGGCAAGTCGGAGCATAACACAGCAGTCTGAGACACGTCCGTCTGTGTCCCACGAGGTTAATGATTCTCAAATCCCTTTGTAGTTCAGGGTGCACGAGTTGGAAATCGTACAGCGAGTTATCAGATTTGAATTGCTCGCGGCGTTGGAAGCTTTGGGTCGCACTTTTAACAACGTCTATGATAGTTGCCACACAAGCAAGGTCAAATCTCGTCCGCACAGAGCATCCGCCGTTGGGACTGCTGAGTCCGCTGCAGTCTCCGGCGCTCACTCGACAACTTGACCGCATTCACTTGTGAGTCTTTCACAGCATTGTCCAAAGAAGCGAGACGACGCCGTGCTACACTGAGAAACAATGACCTCTGATGACGTGAATTTTGTAAGTTCGTAATATATATCAAACCTGGGAAACGCAGGGGCAAGATGTTGCAGCGCAAGTTCGCAACGCACTGCGAGAGTCCTCCGTTTCGACTATGATCTCAAATCCCGGCCATCTCGCGGGAGATCGAACAATCCGTCGAAATAACACCTGTGTTCAAGGCCCTTTGAAAGACTCTGCCCGTCTTCATTGCAGGGACCCAAGAATCAGCTGCATCACATGTTGTCGGCCGAGCGGTTGCCCTTTACGTGCATCTTCCTCGCCAGCATGGCGGCGACCATCTACGTATCCATGGTCATGCACAGTTACCTCCTATCGGTGGTCTTCTCGGGAATTCAGGTGGGTCGCTCGAAAAGCAAGGGGGTTTGGCTCTCTTGCAATTATTTGTCTTGAGTGTTCTCCTCCTTGAGTCGGATTTTCTGTGATAGTATCTGTGAAGCAGGGCCGGTTGATCGTTTTCGTGTAGAGGTAGACTCCGACTTTGATGATAAGGAGCTCTTACATTGTGAAAAGCTGGATGAGAATGGTCTGTTCAGCGGCTCGTGTGAATTTGACAAGCTCACCCGAACTTGGACCCTTGGGGAAAGGAGGTAATTCAAACAAGGGAACGGCTCAGGTTTGTCGACCTCTTTGCTTGAGTTGACGACAGGCTTCCGGAGAGAATGTCGTAATCATAGTCTGCGCTCTCTCAAGATCCGATGCTGCAAGATACCAGTCCCCTTACGAGCATGTTTCCCCTGCAGGTCATGTCATTGCTATACTACGCCGTTTCGTACTTCCCGGGGGGGGCAGCGGGGATGCGATTCTTGGGGTCGATGGCCACTTCCGCGTTCATGAAGTGCTTAGGCAAATAGCATTCGTAGGAACGTTGATTAACGTTTGCTTTGTACATAAAGAGGATTCGTCGAGACGGATTGACGCTGGTTGACGAGCAATAGGAGAGTGTCGACTTTACGATGCAGCTGGCTTGCAAGCGCGTGCACTTGAATGGCACAGCCTGATGCGCACAGTTGTCGAGCTTTGACGTGGTAGGTTTTCAGACACTCGATTCAAAGCATCATGTCCAATGCTGGTCGCGAATCGCTGCATCGACTAGCTTGAAGATGAAGCTTAAAAAAGCGGATGCCCGATTGCTGTGCGACATTCTTATCATCGACGCTGCTCCAATCGGCTGAGTCTGTGTATCTAACTGCATATGTCGCCGGCGCTGAATACATACCCATCAATCGGCTGAGTCCTGCATCTAATCTGGGTCAGCAACGAGTTGATCACTGCAGATCCAAACGTTGCCGCCCTATAGCACTACATCATTGTGTGCCTTTGATGGTAACTTCCAATTTATTAACGCCCTTAGCCTCATTCAGCCATTGAGCACGGTCTCCGGCCAAGCCGGGATGGGTGTTTTTGACTCTACAACTTGCTACGGAATTGTAAGTCATGTCCGGGTGGATGCAAGTAACCTAGACTGCATGCTAACAAATTACTCTAGCTAGCAAGTGCCAGATGCATGATGGGTCGGATGTTATGCAAATGAGATGTTTCAATGCTGCGACGGGGTAGATTATCCGTGCTAATAGGACACTAAAATTTGACTACTCCTTGTCCTTCCCCTTGCGGAAGCGGTTGTAGATCAGGTCCGCGATCGCGTTCATCATCTCCTCGGTGTTGGTCCCGGCCACGTCATTGGGGGGAACTGGGACCGCCGCCGATTTGATGCAAGTCTGAATGGCGCAATATCTATGACAATTGTATTTTCGCAAGTACTCAGTGCATGTGACCGTCATGTGTGCCTCGAACATGATCATGATACATATTCTGATATATGTCTTAATTGGCAGCTTGGGGCAGCCGGCACCTTGTAGCGGCCGCCCGCCTAAGTTGACTTCGGCAGTTCGGCGATGTGCAAGTTGTATATACCGTGCGCCAGCATACTGAAAAATCCCAGATTTGCTGGGAGCCTCAGTAAGACATTACGATCCATGACTGAAGCTTAGAAGAAACAATGAGTCCGGCAAGAGCTAGCGCGGATGCACAAGGCCTGATTGTGCGCGTTCCAAAATGGACTCGGCGCATGCCAGAACTCATGAGAAACACACTAGAAAAAACCAGAAAGTGTAGATGGCGGTGTCCGTCGTGCCTAAGAACTTGCCTGATTGTGCTTGCCCGATTGGACCCATGCACACTTGTTCCCAGATCCCTAATTTCCAAAACCTCATCGACTCTTCTACCTAGTTTCGTTCTCTGTTAGAGGCCTACAAACCATAGAAGCTTGCAACCGTCACATGCAGTGGAACGGTGATGGTTTCAGATGCTCTGAATCATTGCCGGCCTTAGGGACGCCTACTTTGTCAACAGGAAACTCCGACTTCCATTGATCAAAACTTTTTGCAATCCTCTGGCGCTATCACTACAAAGTTGCACTGCAGTATTCACTTCTTCTTTGGGCGTCTTCTTTTGTCTAAAATCGGAAAGTCTCTGCCTATTCGCCGTGCTTCTAATCTTGAAAAGATTTTTTAAGCCTAGCTAGTTGATCACCCTATTGTCTAGCTGGGGATGAATGACTTTCACACCATTCATCTGACGGGAACTTGGTGGTATGATCTTTGTCAGGGTCAAAACCCCTCACCATCATCGAACTTTGTCAAGATTTGCGAGCTTCTGTTCAAAGGTGCTGGCTTTAGATGGCCCCACACTACCCTGCTCTGCCGCTGCTGCCTCTGCTTCCCGTTGGTGATGCTCTACTGTCTTCTTGTAACTAGACGTGAGAACTAGAGCTGCAAAAATGGCAGTACAACTCAGGAGAGGCCCACCACCAAGTTCTGATGAGGATAGACATAAGCACAGATTGACAACTCCTAGATTGTATACTAGGAGACCAGCACCTTCAGAAATTGAAGGGCAAGTGGCCTACTCAGCTGCTTCAGTGGAAGCATAGTCTGAAAGATAGAAATCAATCTTCCTTGCTGGCAGGAAACAGCCACAGATGACGGCCATGATGGAAAGAGAGGGGCCGTCGAGCTTACCTCCCACTGTACCCAGCGCGCACGCATACATCAGGATCATGGACCGTCGGTCTGACATTGCTTGAAGCGTCCGAACCACACCACCTAGCAGTGAAAAAGAGCTGAACAGCCCTTGAAAGCATCCTCCACAAATCACTTGCTGCTTCGAAGTGCGTGGGAGAATGCTGACCTCATCAGCTGTCAGGTACAAAGGCACAAGTAAAGGGCGGGCGCCAATCAAGCACCTGACATCGAAACT